TTGAAGCCATCCTGAAATGCACATGAAAATGGGTTTCTTTCTCCTAATTCTTGGATGCTCAGAGTCAGGATGCTGATAGTCCGTATCTAGTGATGGCAGAAAAGGGGAGGGTTCTCCTGTGGCCACAATATAAGGCCACTGGTCCCAATGATGGGGGCACAGCTTCACCAGACAGTCTGGTTCCTTGTGAAAGTTCTAGAACCTACTTTTCTTAGTCCATGTCTGAGAGGAATCCTCTCTTCACAGGGAAGCTTCCAAGCTTAGTTTGGGGACTCATTGTACAGAGCCTTCCCATGCACTAGCACTGTAGGGCGTGTCCACAAATTACTTATGTTTTTGAATGCTGGGGACTGAACCCAGGGCCTTATGTATACTAGGTAAGCATTCTCCCATTGAGCTACACCCCAGACCTTTCAATTACTTAGGCTCTATAAAAACTTCTAACCTTTACTTCTTATACTTAGTATACTTGGGCAAAGTATGTAAGTTTTCTTTCTTAACCTCTGGCACATATAGAAGCAATTCCCTGCCTTAAACTTCTTGCATCTGAAACACCCAGTGTGATTCCAAACTCCCCAGCTGAACGCTAACAAACCGACAAATACAGTGTGTTTCTAATATCTCTTATCAACTACATTCAGTGGGAGTAGAGGAGGTGTGTGTTTTCTCATGTAATCCCATGGGCTGATACACAGTGAGCCTCAGGAACTATTTTTAACTCATCAATGCAAACAGCAGGTTTTTGGAGATCATCTCTCAGTGCAGCCTTAAATCTAAACTTAGCCATTTTCAAGCCAAGTGACATAGGTATCCTTTGAAAGACTCTTTGGAAATGAAGGCAATATTTTCTGGTCACATTTTTTGGTACTGTAGCCCAATGTTTAACCTCCACTGTGTAGCTCAGGCTAGCCTCAAACTCATCATCTTCCTCCCTCAAGGATCTAGGGCCGGGATTACTTGTTTGTGCTGTCACACCCAACTTTCTGAATTCTTTTGTATCCAAGGTGCCTCAAATTACATCATCCCGTCTACCCCAGCAGCATACCTCAGAAGACACCAGTGTTATACATAAGGAATGAACTTACAGAGATGACCTGGTTGACTGAAGCCCTGTATCCAGTATGTAGTCCAACTCCAGAAACTCCATTCTGAGCATTTCCTGTAGCTCCTCGAGAGCTTCCCTTATCCCAGTAACAGAACAATATGATTTATCATTTGGGTGAAACTGTATGGATCACATTATAAGAATACTTTTGAATGCATTAAAAAAATAAATGTGCCATGGCTTTAGCACATTAACAAATTCCTGGCCCTATTCATACTCATGAGGTTGGCCTTCTCATGTTTTGTCTTATTGACCATCTTACATGTGTACCTGGTTGTCATGGCTGCCTGGCCATGATTGTCCATTGTATTCTGGTCTGACTCTAGCTTCCTGCCTTCTTCTGTTCCTGGAGACTGTCTCCACTGGGTTCGAACCAAAGAACCTGCTCATGAGCACCTGGGTTACAAAACTAAGTGGTGTCTAGCCCTTGCTGATACCAGTTTTCTTGGATAAGGAGCACCAAACTTGGGCTTCTGGGATCTGGTTTATATCCTAGAGTAGCACTGTGAACACTTTGGATGCTTTTCCTTTTTTCCCACTACAGCAGGCATAAAGAAAGCTTAAGCACAAGCCTGGGTGTGATGCATGTCTGCTCCATGTCAATGCCACACAGGCAATGTTGACTCCATAGCACTTGGCTTCATGCCTGTTCCAGCAGGTACTACCACGGGATGTGGTACACAGAGTTGTGTCAATCACGGTGTCCCTTTAGTAAAATGTCACTGCTTTACAGAGACCAAGTCCTTGGGAAAGACTTGTCACAGAAGCCGACACCTGCCACTGATCCCATTTGGAACCACCTTGGGAGATCTTTCTACCCATTGCAGTGGGGAATAGGACATTCGAGGTACATCCAGTCTAAAGTTATGTTGGTCAAAGACCTCAGGGCTTTTGTGCCAAATCCCACTGCAATTGCCGGGCACTGAAGACAAAATCTGTGATTGTGTCCTGTGTTTGCCATCCCCCTGCTCCTCTCCTCTCTCTTCCTTAACAGGAGCTCAAGAGCCACCTGGTGGAAGGTTTTACTAGCAACTTGGCTGGAGGCTTTTAGCAATGGGGAACAAGCTTCTCTCTGGATCCGAGGTCCACTCCACAGGCGGTCGCACCCCCAAAAAATCAATGCTTTGGGGTGTCATGGGCCCTAGGGAGTAACTTACTACTATTCTTTTGATAAATTGACGAAACTGCCTTCTGAACATTCTTGTTTTATACCCATAGACAAAGACTACTCAGACTGAATCAGAGAAAGCTCTCTCTGTAGTTTACCAACTTAATTAATGGCTGTTTGAGGTGCTGAGAACAAGTGTCTGGTGTGTGTTCAGCTCTTAACAGGACACACTATTCCCTCTAAGACTCAGGGAGCATGGAGGAAGGTGGGGGGGGTCACAAGGAATGTAAGAGCATGAGGACAGGAGAGCAGAGGGTGGGAGAAGGGCTCATGGAGCCCTATCCCTCCTTGGTGAACTATTGGCTACTGATAAATTCAGGAGAATACCTCCTCGCTGAACTGCCGGCTACTGAATCAGGTAAAGGCAAGAGTCATTGTCCTTAGCTGTGTTCTGCTGGTGAGCCCAGTAGGCTTAACTGGACAGTTTCAAACGCACAGACACAGAGACAGCCCTGGTAAAACTCAGTGAGCCATGTAAACAAAACAAAGAGCCATCAATGAGTGATTTGTAGGGAGGAATGGGGTGGGGGTGGAGCTTAAATGGGGCTATCCAGGGTAATTAGAATGCATTATATGCATGCCTGGAATTGCCAAAGAACAAATTTAATTTAAGAAATAAACAAAATAAACAAAAGCAACAGGTTATAGGGAGGCAGCTGGGACAACACTCTAGCACTGCTCCAGAGGGACTCAGAGCTATTCTAAGGGACATGCTTTTCCAAATCAGTTTTAGGACAAGTTTGCCAATATCTCTAAACAAAACTGTGTCCCCTTTATTCTTTTGGTTAGTTAGATGTGTGTTACTTAGGCTAAAATATGTGGAGATTTTATCTGTTTATCTCTGTGTTACAGGTTTCCAGTTTAATTTCATAGAGATCACTGATTATACACCATGACTCTAGGCTTTTGAAATGTTTGGGGATTTGGTTTATGGCCCATTACATGGTCAATTTTGGTAGTGTTCACTGTGTACTTGAAAAGAATCTGTACTCTGCAATTTTTGAGTGGGGTATCCCATGTGTGGCAGGTGACTTTTATTAATTACATTGTTCAAATCTTCCATTCTTAATGGTTTTCATCTGTTCTATCAGACACTGAGAGAGGTACTCAAGTCAGCCATCTGTGGTTATGAATTTGTTTCTTACTCCTTTTAATTCTGTGACAATGTTCTTCATATATTTAGCAACTACTATAAGGTAAGCTTTAAGTATTATCTTGGCGGATCCATATCATTTATTCTCTGTCTCAATTCTTGACTTGGTGTGTGTGTGTGTGTGTGTGTGTGTGTGTGTGTGTGTGTGTGTGTGTATGTGTGTGTGTGTGTATGTGTGTGACACTAATAGAACATAGGGCTTCATGCAAGTAAGTGCCCTAACTAACTGATCTATGTTTCCCAATCCTGTTTTACTTTAAGACAGGCTGGCCTTGAACTCACTCTGTCCCCATGCAGACTTGAGTTTGTATTCTTCCTGCCTAGACCCCCAACGATCAGGGATTACAGACCTCCGTGAGCAGGCCTGGCTTTCAACATTTCTTTTTCCCCAATATTTCCACTGCATGTCTCCTAAGCAATATGTCATTGAAATGTAATAAATGAAATGAAATAAGCAATCTGTAGTCTAAAAACTCTAATCTGGAGCTTTCTACCTTGGTATTTACTGATAAATTCCTGTTGAAATCCACCATCAAGGCTGCCCGTGTAGGTTCGTTCGCTTCACCTGCTGGTTTTCTCCTTTCCTATGTCACTAAGTTCTCTGCACCGTTGCCTTGCCGCATTTCTGAGCACATGAAACTGTTCCCAGGAATAAAATCAGCGACTCTGGATTCCTCTCAGAGGACCCAGGACTCTCCTGAAATGTCAATTGTTTCTTATCCCAGGAGTACCAAGAAAAAGTGTAGCAGGCAGCGAGCAAATGTTTAAATGTCATTTTTAAAGCTCCCTGGACAATTCTGATGGACAGCATATTAGCATCCTACAGCTTTTGATGGCTGACATGGAAAACACGACCATAGAAATTCCTATAGGATCTACCTGTCTTCTGTGTGTGTGTGTGTGTGTGTGTGCGCGCGTGTGCGTGTGTGTGTGTGTGTGTGTGTGTGATGTGCATGTGCAAGCAAACATGGAAGGCACTATGTGTCCTGTTTGGTCACACTCCGTCTTACTCCCTTGCAACAGGGTCTCTCACCGAATCTGAAGCCACCCACTGGTGGCCAGCAAGTCCCAGTAATCCTCATTTCTGCCCCACCCCAGCATTGGAGTTACGGGCATACACAGCCATGCCCCAGCCTTTCTTTACATGGTTGCTGCGGATTTGAACTCAGGTCCTGATGTTTATACAGCAGTTTCTCTTACCTGTTGAGCCATCTCCCCAGTTTCCTTAACACTTGTGCTATGTCTGCACACCGCCTAGGGACTGTCCCTTCAGGCTCAGAAAGGCTGGCTGTCTCAGCCAGGAAGCTCAGTCTTACAAGGCACAATGGTAAACACATGTCTTCACATGTCTGAGATGCCTGGATTAGATAAGCAAATGCAACAGAAGCCTGCCCTCTGCCCTGTCAGGCCAGGGCTTTGCCATCCAGACCCCCAAGGCCTGGAGTATAAATGTCTGTACCGGCTCCCTTCTCGGCAGCTTGTCTCACATAGAAGACTGGTGTGCCTCTGTTTACACTATGCCTATAGATCTTTACTTCTCTCTCAGAGGCCAAAATTACTCAGTCACCATGCAGTGGGGGTTCGTTTTCATTTTATTGTAAGTCACTGTGGCTTAGAAGTTGACAAAGTCACCTTGAACAGTTCTGAACCATTGTTTGCTATAGGAAAGGGGGTTACCACAGGAGCCCCCAATACTGCAATAGAGTGTACCTCTACCTCTTTTGAAGTATATAGTGCTTTGAGCTATGAAATTAACATATCAGTTTTACCTTCCACAGTCAAATGCAGAAAAAGAAGTTTGAAGGTATATCAATAAAGAATATTTCACTGTAAGCAAGAAAAGGTTCTGCAGTGAAAGAAACCCAAAATAAATCAAGGGAAAATACTTTGTTAACTGGACACATTTTAAAAAACCAAAAAACCAAAAAACACACACGTATTATTAACTTGAGACTTGTTTTTCTGTTTTGCCTACAAATCTTTAACAAGAGCTTTCTTTTTTTTGGAAACAGAATTCTGAAGAGTTTCTGTTTGCTTGTTTTCGCTTAGCCAGAAGGTTTTAAAAACACATCACTTTTAAGATTAAAAACTGAAACTCTCAGACCACTTAGTGCGCACAGGACCCTCGCTACTCAAGGACCCTCACTACTCAAGGCGCCTGGCAGCCTGCTGGGTGCTCACTGCTCAGCAGTCAGAATGAGCTGGATACCAAGACTAGAGCCTGGCTTCCACTTTCTGCTCCCAAGAATTCCTTCAGAGTATGGCGCTTCCACACATGCCACCCTGGGGCTGGCTTCCAGAATGGTATGGCTCAGTGAGCAACCTCACTTGGATCCCACTCTCCCCAGAGGCCCCCAAGCAACTTTCACAGCCCATGGCATCTCTTCAAGCTTGAGGAAGGGGCGCAGGGCCAACAGCACAGGGCAGCTTCCCAGCAACGCTCCAGGGCCCTGCCAGGTGGGCTCTGGGGTCATCTAAGCAATACAGTTACCAATCCAAATGGAAGCAGATGTCTGTGCATGGGCATCTCTGGGTAGCTTACACACTAAGAACCATTTTTAACATGGGGACTCCATACCAACATCAGCTAGGGTTATCTCTTTTGTCAAAGCTGGGGTCCTAAGGGCCACTGACACCTGCAGAAGATATGGCACCCTACTTCTAATATTTCCTTTGATCCTTACTCCAACCCTGTGAGGTAGTAGAGTAGGCGGGCAGAGGCACCATGGAGACAAGAGGCACCATGGAGACAAGTGCCTAGGCCCCCAGGTGGCCCATAAGGCCTGGAAGCCTGTCCTCCCCTGTGTTTCTGCTGCTGCCCTCTTGCCTCTTCAAACACAATTTTGGAAGATGAGGTGCTATTGTGGCCGAACACCCGGATAAAGTGGGTTTCCTGGGCACTTGTCAAACCACCCTGAACAAGGGCAAGGTGGGAAGGTGAGAAAATTCGGACAAAATGAGTTCCTGAAAAAGTCAATGACTTCAAATTCTATAAGGAGGGAACACAGTAAAAACTAACACCTGCCTGGAGAAACCTCAGACCCCCCTCCCCGGCCAGCCTGAGTCTAACTGTGGGGAAACCCGTGGATATTCCACTTTTGAACATTTTATCACAAGGCGGGACGATTGAGTTGGAGGCCAGCTTGGGTAACATAGGAGACCCAATTTAAATAAAATAAAATAAACGGCAAACTGGGGTCTCTGTATGTTGGGGAGTAAGCTACCCAATAGCCTGGCAGCACACTGTGCCATGGGAGTCCAGAGCTTCAAGCTAGCTGCTGTGCTGACCATTGGGAATGAGATGCTTGGTGGTCCCAAGGCCATTCTTCAGGTAATCTGTCCCTTTGCCTTTGGTGCCCTCCTCGTCTTCTTCTTCTTCCTCTTCTTCCTCCTCTTCTTCTTCATCATCACTTCTCACATCCTGAATGTTCTAGGCAAAGCAAAGAATGGGCTGTGAGTGACAGCTTTTTTAGGAGAAGGTTGTCATGAATGTGCACGCATACAGGTCGGTCTAGGTGTGACAGCTGCCTCCTGCTAAAGAGCCCAATCCCACATGTCCGACATTCACAGAGGCACACCACAGCACAAGTCAGACACACTTAAGAGACTGAAAACTTCGGGACTGGAGAGCAGGCTTGGTAGGTTAGAGTTCTGTGACTCTTGCAGAGTTCCAGATTCAAGTCCCAGCACACACATGGTAGCTCACAGCCATCTGTAACTTCAGTTCCAGGGGATCTGATGCTATCCTCTGGCCTCCGTGGGCACCTCACACACACACACACACACACACACACATGCACACACACGCGCGCACACACACACATATGCACACACACACGTACACACAGAGAGAGAGAGAGACAGAGAGAGAGAGAGACAGAGAGAGGGAGGGAGGGAGGGACGGAGAGAAGGAGGGAGAGAGAGAACACATACATGCATACATGCATGAAGGCCAAACATTCATAGCAAAATAAATCTTAAAAATGTTTTAAAAATGAAAGTTTGATTATGGTAATAGCTATACAAGTCTGTATCCATATTCAAACTGAGAACTAAAACCCAACAGAAAAAGCTCAGGCTGGTGAGGTGGCTCAGCAGCCTGAAGACCTGGGCCAGGCCCCACATTATAGAAGGAGAGAACTGACTCCAAGTTTTCCGACTCACATATGCCCACCATGGTGCATCCCCCCCACATAAATGTAATTTTAAAATGTCCATTTTATTAATAATATATGAAATCTTTTTCTTTAGAAAGCAAATATTAAACAAAATCCTAGTGCTGGGTATGGGCTCTTTCCCTTTGAATTATTGGCTGGGGTGGTGGTGGGGAGCAGACTGAACAATGAAGACTATTGCTGTTATACTCAGTTGTCCACAGAACCAGCGGGTATCCACTTCCATCACAGGATTTGGAAAACCCAGGCTAGTGCTGGCCTGGAAGGCCAGCTTTCATAGTGCCACAAGGTGCTAGGCAGGCTGCCGAGAGAGAAAGGTGGCAACAGTCTTGCCAGCTGTGAACCCTCTGAACTACATAACAGTTCGTCTGGCAAGGTGCCAGGTGCCCATTGGCACAATAGTGGCCTGAGTGTCTGGGGTGGGGGACAACAGCTATCAGGTTGGATTTAAAAGTGCTCATCAAAAAGGAGCTCATGCTTGCCAACTGTAAACTTGGCAAAGGGGAGAACCCACTACTATCATCTTGCCAAGTTTGACAGAGTAGTCAACTGTCTTCTAAATATTTATCCTTAAACCCAAACATTAGTCCAGCTCACACACCTTATCAGAGAGGTTCCTTTTTGCAGTGAATGGAGGTCAGCTCAGAAAACCACAAAATGATCAAAGTGCAGGAAATAGGTGACTGTGGAATGCTCATACCCAAACAGGACATCTATATCACATCTCCTCTCTCCAGGGCTCAGGAGCCATCATAGAAGACGGTATAGAAGACTGTAAGAATCCGGGGAGAGACGAGTCTTCTGGACACAACAGGCATTGCACTCACAAGCTCTGGGTAGCTGTGGTTATAGGCATAAGGTCTGCCTAGTCAATATTCCAGCATGGATGGGCAGTTGGGTTCCCAAGGCCCCACAATTAATTGAGAAACTAAAAGCAGTAGGTGACTGCCAAGGAAGAAAATGTCAGTTTTCCTCAGGGGCCGGGTCCTCGATAATTTGCCCATGCTACAGTGAACAGTCCAACACTCATGTATATATAAGCAATACTAATAGACTCAGTGGGCTTTGGTAGGTAGGTAGGTAGACAGATAGATGATAGATGATATGTATTGGGTGGATGGATAGATGGATGGATGGGAAGGTAGATAGATATACAGTCAGACACAGATAGATAGACAGACAGACAGACAGAGGACATGAGTTTGGGAGGGAGATAAAAAGGAAGAGACTGAAAGGGGGAATAGGGATGGACTTTCTTAAAAATATATTCATATATGAAAGAGAAAAACAAAGATAAAAGTGAAAGGAAACATAATGTTTTCTTCTAAGTATTAATCACTGGGCATTAGCTTTCAGGATATTTTTATTGCCGAGAATTGAACTGCTTTCTCCTCTTGTAGTATAGAAAGTTTCTTCAGCACCAATTCTTAACTGAGCTTGTGTCTCTTCTAGCTTCTTACAGGAATCCTGCAAGGAAATCTCCCAGAAGGACACTGCTCCTGGGGTACAGGGTGGAGCTTCTATCAGTCAGGTATTGGTGTGAAAAATAAAATACTGTACACCTTAGTAAAACAAACGAACTCGGAAAGTCTTGTGCTGGGTGTTACCTCTTAGCCACCCCAGTGTCTTCCCTAAACTCAGCTCAGAAGAAGGAGAAAATCCACGGAAGGCAAGCCATCTCCCTCATGGTTTCCAAGATCTGCAGATCTGGAGGAACAGACTGATTGTTCCAGAAATTCAAGGATGCATGTAGTCAAAAGAATATATTATGTTTTGTTCAGAGCCTCACAGTTCCTGAAAACAGGATGGTAAGGACAAAACCACCAAACACACGTCCGTGTCAGTCTTCATTTACAGCCTTTCCATTCATGAAAGCTTGTGACGACGAAGGCACAAGCATCTGCCAGCTGTGTTATGTCACATGCACATTGCACATGTCAATGCACAAAGGGGTGGAAGTGTCTTTCATAGTTTGCTTTTATGACAGCTGGGGCATTGTGCTATTATTTGAAACTACGTTTAGAGGTGGATTACATGGACTAGGATTGAACTGCAGACTAGTGAAGGCTTGTGTGTCTGGTAGAATTGAGAATCACTGAGTCTCAACAGTAAGTCAGAGGCCACACAGGAGTCCTGTGCATTTCCTGCAGATAAAACTCTGCTAGATTGATATGCAGGTGTTTGGGTGCTATATGAGATGTAACAATACAGATTGAGAAGTGTGTTGTTCAAATAGTAATAATCTCTAATATAACTAGCAGTACTGACACTTAAAGTGCTTTCCAAGGGGCAGGCTGGACAGAGCAGTTAGTATGAATAGTAAGATTCCCCATCACGGTCACTGGGCATAGGAACCATACTGTTTGCTTTAATAGACAGGATTAATGATGGTGAGTGTACGGGCTGGGGCAAGGAAGAGATTAACAAAGCCACCACACACAGCTTGGAGCCAGACAGGGCATAAGCACAGTGCTCTACAGTCCCCTGCTGGACGAAGCCGGGTGGTGTAAGTACTGGGAGAGCAAATGGTCCCAGGAGGCCTGTGCCCAACTCTGAGGCAGCCTGCCTTTCCTCCCTACCGACTGCCTCCTCGGCCCTCCTCACTCCCATTCTGACCTTGCCCTTGGTACCATCAGTGTTGGCTTTTAGGCAAAAAAAAATAGTGAAAATCATCCCTAATAAATGATTTTTATTAGGTTAGACAACTACTGACATGTTCATTATATTTCAGTTAAAATGGGTATTCATTAGGTATGGTGGAGCATGCTAGCACTCAGGAGCAGGAGGCAGGTGGGTCTCCATGAATTCAAGGCCAGTCTGGTCGACAGAGCAAGTTCCAGGTCAGCCATGGCTGCATAATAAGACAGACGACAAACACTGAAAAAAATGTTCAAGGGCTGGAAGATGTCTCAGTGGTTAAAGCACTTGCTGAATAAGCCTCATGATCTGAGTTTGGATCTCCAAACCCTGCACAAAGCCAGTGGCAGAAGCTAACTAGTTACCTCTGTGTTCCTATGACAAAGTGGCGACAGGAGAGTCCTAAGAATCTTGTGCCAGTCAGCCTGGCTTATGCAGTGGTGGGTAATTATGAGAGACCTTGTCTCAAACAAGGTGGAAGGTAAAGGTGGACACCTGCAGTTTTCTCCAACCTCCACATATATGCTGTGTGGCACACACACACACACACACACACACACACACACACACACACACACGCACATGCACACACAAATGTTCAAGATGATTTAGGAACAGACTTTACAGCATATTCATGATTCATGGGGTACCATTTGAAGGGACATTGGCTAAGGAATGCTAGAAAAATGAAACTTCTCCAATTAGCTCGAGTTTGAAAAGCTTAAGATAAGGACCACAGTCTGTATTCTAGGAAAGAAACCACAACTGCAAATCTTTCCAGCAACTAAAATGCCTAATAGGAATACAAATCCAAATACTTTTTTCTAGGTGGTTCCAGGAGTGTACACATGTGGTAAATATCAGTGTTCTAAAATACTAACTGTGTGCCTTGAATATCAATGCTTGCCTTGCAATCTTGGAACCAACAATTCCATTTATTTGCAGAAGGGGGAAAACCAGGCAGCTTTTGTGCTGGTCCATATATACAAGTTTCTTTTTCTTCAGGTTCAGTGGCAGAGACAAAAGTTTCTTTTATTATACTGCCCCAGCTCACTGATGTAAAGTAGGAGACCTTTATTTTCCTAAATTATTAACAAAATCTAATGAAGTTATAATATAAAATTTCATTTAGCTATAATTTAATTATTGAACTATTAAATTATAATCCGTTATTTGATTTATTGCTAATTCCTGAAGCAGTTCTTTTATTTTACTTAGACTTAGAGCTTTTTGCCAGTGAGCTTCAAAGATTAGTTTTAGGACTTGACAGACTCTGAATAGTGTCTTCAGTTTCCAAAGATGATAAAACCTGAGGATTTCAGGCCCTTCCTGGTGCTAGTGACACAGCATGGGGACAGCACAGCCCAGAGCATACTAGGATGCTTTTGGTTCTCTCTCTCTCTCTCTCTCTCTCTCTCTCTCTCTCTCTCTCTCTCTCTCTCTCTCTCTCTCTCTCTCTCTCTCTCTCTCTCCCCCTCTCTCTCTTTCTCACTTCCCCCTCTTTCTTCTCTGTCTCCCTTCTTTCTTCCCAAACTAACCAAACAGAAGGCACAGAGTTTCTGTCTCACCCTTTAGATTACCTAAAATATATGAAAATGCATGCCTCTGGTGGTCATCA